CCAGTCTTATATGTTGCTGTTGGTATGTGTGTGCGGTAAGAAGTGTCAAAGGGTCACGTGCTGGGTCAAACTCATGGTCTGCCCCAAAGCCACACCTGCGTGTCCTGCACCGCCAGTTCCCGGTAGCGGTAGCGATTGATGACCCTCCGGGCTCGCCTGTGCCGTCTGTGATGGCGCCGAGGCCCTCGGCTGTAGAATAGGTAGTTGATGTAGACGTACTCCATCAGGGAAAAGAAGACAAAGAAGAAGCACACGATGATGTAGATGTCGATAGCCTTGACACAGGACACCTGTGGCAATTTGTTCCTCACATGCGAGTCGATGGTGGTCAGGATGAGCATCGAAGTCAAGCCTGTCAAATGCAAGGCATTCACTTAGCCTTCTCTGAAGCTCTGGGCCAGCCCCCGGGCCCACCCCACCACATTACTGGAGCCTCGGTGCCTCAGGCCAGCTGGGGAGAGCTACTGAGGGCCTGTAGCTCTCTCAGTCTGGGGTCTTGTCTGAAGGCCTTTCCCACCCGGGCCACTTCCATCTGTACTGACTTCTAACTCTGAGCACCCTGGGCCAAATCTTCAGGCCTAGCTGCCAGCTCATTTTGCCCTATGGGAGGTTATACCTCTTTAGCCTCCCAGGGCACAGGACTCTTGTTAGTCGACCTCCACCCCTAGCCCCCACACTGTCATGATTCAATGAGCTCGTTGCCCCTTGGCAGGTTTGGTGAAACACAAATGTTACCCAGATAAAGATGTATGTGGTGCCTGTCCCACATACAGTCAAGGTGCAACCAGACCCAGATGGAGAAGCCTGGCGTAACGCAGTTCAAAGGTCCCTCCCCAGCACCCTATGGTTTAGACCCATCGAGGGGTCTCTGTGAAGCCTTGGTGCCATAGTGGTGACAGCACTCAGATACTACCTGCAAGGTCAGCAGTTAGAACCCCGCAGTTGTTGCACAGAAGAAAGATGGGGCGGGTTGCTACCATAAAGATGACACCTTGGATACCTACAGGTCACTCTGGGTCTGAATCGACTGGGCAACAGTTTTGTGTCGTTTTGCATGAGGAGACCAGTGCCTTTCCTCAAGCTAGTCCCTCCTTGGGGAATACCACATCCTGTGTCCCTGCCTCCTTAGACTCTTCCGAAGTCTCTCTGAACATCACTGTCTCCATGCTGTTCCAGCCATGTCCTCTCCCTATCTCCCTCAAGGTCTGCTCTGAGCTGTTCCTCCAGGGCAGCCCTCTGCTCCCTAAGCAGGGTTTGCTGCATTGCATCATGGATCTCACAGGCCAACTTGTCCAGTCACCTACGAATTCCAGACCTGACGAACTCTGGCTCCTGGGACCTAATCTGCCAAGGCCCAGCCCTCATGCCTGTTGCACCCAGGACTTCGGGATCTTCTCCTCCTTCTGGGTTGGGTTTGGTTTGTTTGTTTGTTAAGAAAATGAGCCAATCCCACCACAAGGCAGGAATAAGTCTTACCCACAGTCACCCTGGCAGCAGAAGAGTCGCAGTTCATCCAAAAGGACAGCCAGGAGAGCACAGTGGTGAGGACCGTGGGCCAGTAGATCTGTACCAGGAAGCTGTTCACTTCCCTCTGGACCTGGAACCTCAGAATCAGGCGCATGTAGGAGCCTGTCAAGGAGACACGTGGCAGTCAGGGGGAGAAAGTGCTGCTCCCCACAGAGGCCCTTAAGTCGGGCAAACCTGATACCCTGGAGCAGCAGGTTAGTGACCAAGCCTGGCCTTGTAGAGCCGATGTAGGGGTTGAAAGCCAAAGAGGAAGCAGGTGTGGAAGCATTTGGCCAGATCTATGTCACTCCATGGGCGTGTGGTGGGGGGCGGGGGTAGAGAGTGAGGATAAAGGGCAGCCTAGGAGGCTGGGGAACCCACAAGGAAAGGGGAGAGGTGGCCAGGAGGGACAGGGGCCTGGGTGGGCCAGCCCCACCTGTGTAAAAGTACACCTCCTTGATTGTCACCGTCTTGCCCAGGAAACTGAAATCAGGGATGTGGAGCTCCTCGGTCCCGTGGATCGCTTGCTCATCGTCTTCCCAGAATAAGATGATGTCCTCAACCGTGTAGCCATCTGGAAGGGGGTGGAGGGAGAGTGACTCAGCCAGAGGACAGGAAGGGGGAAACCTGCACTTTGGGGGACACTTGGTAGGGGCTATGGAGACCACTTGAGGTGAGTATAGAAGGCTGGAGGCAGAAAGGGATATCTGGGGCTTCTCAGCAAGGGGACATTACAGGCTGAGTCCCACTGGTTTGGGGACAGCCTCCCAATTGCAAAAGGGCAATTCCCCAGAGGCCTATTTACACCCTCAAGGGGCACCAGCTTCCAGTTGCCATCTTTCTCTGTCTCTCTGCTATGCATCCACATCCAGATCTACCTCTCTCTCTCTCTTTTTCTCCCTGTATGTACCTATCCAGATCTGTGTAGAGAGAGAGGGAATGAGAGAAGGAGGTGGGCTATGATCTCGGGCTCCAGCATCCCCGCTGGCCCAGGCCAGGAAGGACACAGGAGCCATACGTACAGCTCTCGATTTCCAGCTTGCAGGCCTGCTTGTCGAGAGGGAATTTCTTCAGGTCCAGGGAGCACGCTGCAGTGGTGGTGAGTCTGCAAAGGCAGGGGAAGGGGAAGGGAGGATTGGCCAGTCAGGGTCTGATACACAGAGGAAATTGCAGGCCTAGGCAGGGGTGCTACGGCAGGGTCGGCCTCCCTCTCACCTTCCCAGCCAGGGTTCCCTTCCTTTGAGGAAAGGTGCATTGCAGATGTCAAGGAGGAAGGGAGCATCTGATATGACCAAGGAACCAGTCCCCTGGCAGGACAGCAATGAAGAGCAGAACAGAAACCCCCAGGGCGTCTGAGGGGAGGGCCCCGGAGGAAGCGGAGTGGGGAGACAAGGGGGGACTGGCTCAGTCCCTCTGTTCTCTACAGGGCCCAGCACCTCACCCAAGCTCAGCCCATTTTTCTGGTGGCTAAGATGCGCCCATCTGTCTGTTTCTCTCGCTTCCCCTCATTCTCCACAGGGCAGCCAGCCCATGTTAACCGAAACAAGTGTGCCCAGACAGGGAGCCTGCTCCCTGCCAGCTATATTGTTCTCAGACTCCCACAGCTTAGTCCATGGGAAAGCGGACAAAGAAAGAGATTTATGAAGGGATGGGGCTGGGCCCCAGAGGAAGAGAAATCAGAGTGGCCCTGTAACCCCGGGGAGCTGAGCCCACTGGGTGAATATGTCAGGGTGGAGTCCTCTGCTAAAGGGGACATTGGGCCTAAGGTGGGGAGGATGGGCAGGCGGAGACATCTCCCTAGCAGGCCCCTCGGGAACCTACTTGATGCCGTAACGCACTGTTCCATCGGGGTGAAGCTGAAACACACGGTTCTCCACAGTCACATCATGCACGTAGGCGTCCTTGCTGTTCAGGAAGTAGCAGTCAGGGACCCACAGCTTGTCGAGCATCCGGTGGTCCAATGTCAGGTTCAGGTTGGTCTCGTAGTAGGCTAAACGGGGGTCTTTCCAGGTCTGATGAAAGAACATGGTGATTGTATAGTCCTGGGGAGAGGAAAGGACAAGGTGTGAGTTAGGCCTGGTGTGTGTGTGTGTGTGTGTGTGTGTGTGTGTATGTGTGTGCACATGGGAGACATGCCATCAATCTGTACACCCAAGGAAGAGAAGGAAAGTGAACCTGCAGGGAGCAATGGCCAAAGTCAGAAATGGAACATTGCTGGGAACGTTCAAGCTCCCAATGACCTCCTCCTACAACCTTGGATTTCCCGCACCTCGCAGTAGTAGCCCTTCTCGTCCATCTCTGTTAGTTTTGTCGTCTATTGCTGTTGTTCTGGGCCGGCCATCAAGTCGACTGTGACTCAATGTGACCCTCGGTGACAGAGTGCACCTGCCCCCCAGGGGTTCCTTGGGTGTCATCTTCAAGAAAATTGATGGTAGATCTCTTCCCCTGCTAGCAGTGGAATGAATGCCTAGCTGTACCTGCGTCTGAAGTTTCTGTAGCTAGATTTCTTGCTGATTTGAACCCCTTTCTGTATCTTGTCCATATGGAAACACCCCGTATTTGCCATTGTGCATCTTTCCCTCCACCTTGCCTTTGTGCAATGCACTCAAGCTGATGTGTCTAATTGTGACTTGTTCACTCTCACGGCTGAATCATAACGCCTCACATGGACATTGCTGTCGGTCATTTGGCTGACTCTTCGTGACCTTCTGCTTGTGTGTGGTTGCTATATGAACACAAGCACATATTATTGTCTAAATGCATCCTGCAGACCCAAACCCCAACGAAATACAGACATCTACGTAAACGAGCCAAGATGAGTCGGAACTTTCAATCGACGTGCTAATGGCTAAACTTGGCCACGAGGGTGAGTGTTCCTGATGCTCCAGACTGACCAGCTCTGGACTTGTGAGAGGTCTCGGCCGGGCTCCTTTCACATTTCACTGGTTACTAGGGCCAACTCTTTTTATATGTGTATCTGCTCTTTGGCTTCTCTCAGGAGTCCTGGTGGCACAGAGGTTAAGTGCTTGGCTGCAAACTGAAATGAGGGCTGTTGGAACCCATGGCCACCCACTCCCTTGGGAGACGGACGTGGCAGCCTGACTTCCATGAAGGCTTATGGCCTCAGAGGATTGAAGGGGCGGGCCGAGTCTGTCCTCTGCAGCTTGACTGTGAGTCAGAATTGACTTGATGACAGTGGGTCTGGTGTTTGGTCTTCTTCCCAAAATTGAAGTGTTGGTTCACAGTCTCTGAACATTTTTTTAATGGGTTAAACAGGTTTTTTAAATGAGTTGAAGTTATCAATATTTTGTTTATGATTAGTGTGTTTTTCTTCTCTAAAAATTTTTGAATTGAATGGGTGTGCTATTTGTGCGTTTTCTGCCTTTTGAAGGAAATCCTTACCTACCTCAAAGACACAAAGCCAGCATCCTATATTATCTTAGAAAAGCTCCCCTTTCAGAACCTTTGACCTTGAGGTCTACAATCCACCTGAAATTATGACTTTATAGGTGGTGTGAAATGGGGGGGGTGTCGATGCACCCCCCCCCCACGTTTCAAGTTCCATTTCCAAAACCTACTGTGTTGCACATTAGCTCCATTGCACATCAGAACTGGGGTTGTGACCCTGCTCTTTGGCTCCTGGCCCCTGTCTATCGGCTAGAGCTGGAAACACTTACCATATTCATTTCTGAGATCTGTTCAATCCTGGTGATGTAGATGGATATGCCCACAGGTATGGGATCACCTACAACAAAGGAAGACACCCTGACACACACGCTCAGACGTCCTTTTCCTTTTCTGCAGAAAGAGGGGGTTCCTTGCCTATGGCCACTGCTCAGACTGCAGGGCACCTCCACAGGAAGGTCGCTGGTGTTCGCCCATCACCTTACAGATGGGAAAGACTGAGGCTTGGAGGTGAGAAAGGATTTCTGAGTCATTTAGTGGCAGCTGCAGGTGTCCTAAGTCAACTCCTGCCCCTCAGGCCAGGGTCTTGCTATTTCTGCATAACACTGCAGAGGGGAATTCCAACCATTGTCTGAAAGGAAGGGGTAGGGCAAGATACTGAGAAAACACAGGGGATGAATCACTCTTTTGAAAATGGTGCCCCCCCCCCCAAGTTCTGTTTGAAATGAACTTGTTTGTCACTTAAAAACTCCAAGTCCATTTCAATTTTTCTTTTCCTCCCCTTTTAAAAACAAAACAAAACACTCAGGCCAATATTTAGGTTCGAGGGGTGAGGAATCTGGAGGGATGGGATTTCTTTTTTAATTCTGTGAGCCTTTGCTCTTTTTTTAAAATTTTGGGTTTTGAAGTACACTGTACAGTAACCCCCCCACCCCCGCCATAAATGTGGCTCTCTCCCCCCACCCCATCCATCCTCTGTCCTCGTGGTCATCAAAGTCTTATGCATTAAAAAAAATCACATTTCTTTCCCCCCACGTAAAAACACTATTAAATAGTTATCTTTGTAAGTCTAAGTTTGCTAGAATAATGTTCTCTAGTTTTAGAATAATGTTTTAGAATAATGTTCTCTAGTTTCGTCTATGTCTTGTGGTGTTTAAGAGAGCTGGCATCATTTGTTATTGAAGCATATTATTTTGTTGTATGGATGTACCAGCGTTGGTTTATCCAGTCCTCTATAATCAGAGCTTTTGGTTGTTTCCACGTTTTTGATATTATGGAAATTGTTGCCATAGACACAGGGGTGCACATGTATGTTCGTGTTGCATTCCTTATTTCTAGTTATTTTCTTAATAAAGTTGAAGAGCAACGAGACCAGAAACAAGAGCCAAGGTCTGTGGGGCAGGTGGGTGTGTAGGCGACGTGAGTGACCGAGCATGTACTTCCCATGTGGAATGACTGCTTATGTGAGGGGACATGAGCATGTGTGTGAGCGAACCTCGGAGTAGATTCGAGTGTTAATGTGTGAGTGGAAGGGTGATCAGGTGACTGAACTTGTTTTTGAGTGGTAATACGCATTCTGCTCGAATGAGCAACAGCAGATGCATGTGAGTGGATTGGTGAAGGTGTTCACGTGTGCGCGATATGTGACTGAATGTGTGTGAGCATGTTCACTCATGTTTGCATGCCAATGTATATGTGCATGACTATGACCATCAGCATGTGGAAGTGAATTAATGAGTATGTGCATACCAGTGTGTGTGAGTGAGTGAATGAGTGTATGTGCATTTGAGTGTATGCAGGGGCACTAAAACATGGGTGGAAAAATGAAATGAAAAGAGATCGGAGACCCTCGATACGTGTTTGTATATTTGTCATTGTGAATGAGTGCATGAGCATGTTCATGTGTCTCTATTCGTGTATACGTGTGCTCGTATGTTCGTGTGAGTGGCAGTGTGAGCATGTTGATGTGAGGTTGCTGTGGGAGACTGAAGGGCTGAGCAGGTGTGCTCGCATGTGTGAATGTGTGGGCGTGCTAATGAGCATCTGCCTGTGTGTGAGTGAATATGTGCAAGTGCTTGTGGAAGGTCTGCGGCGGACTGTTTGCACGAGTGCCTGAATGTGTGACTGTGTTCAGGGATGAGCAGGCTTAGGTGTGTGTCTCTGTGTCTGTGTGTGAGTGCATCTGTGAGTATTAAAGTGTGAATATGTTTGTGTGTCTAAATCCATGTGCAAGTATGTGGGTGTATTTCTTAGGGAATATGCGAACACATTTGTGCACGCATGTTTGTGTCTGAGTACATGTGGGCCAATGTGTGCTCCGGTGCTAATATGTGCGTACAAACGGTCCACGCACGGACAACTCCTGCTTGCCCTTCCATGTGATGGAAATTCACCCTCGCTTTCCAAGTATTGAACCAACCCCTCCTTGGAACCAATTCATCACCATCACCTTCACATGCTCTCCTTGGACGTTGTACGGCATTGGAAAGGCTTTGAGTCTTCTTGAATAAAGTCAGGCCAAAGAAGTATTTAATGCACTACAAAATCGACTGAAAGAAACCCAGGAGCAGTGCTTGCCGGTAAAGCGGGCACTGCTTGCATGTGCTTGTGGGAGCATCTTCATGTATAAGCATGCTCGCATGTTTAGCTATGTGAGCATGGTTGAGTGTGAGTGTGCTCATATGTATATTTATGTGTGGACACATGTGTCCGGTCAGGTTGTTGTATACGTTTGCATGAATGTGCGAGCATGTTCATGTGTGGATGTGAATTCGTATGTGAGCACGTTGCTGTGTGTCTGTGGGGCAGTGTTCAGGTCTGGCAGGACTCCCATGGAATGTGACTGTACGGAGTGAACTGCAAGGTATGTGGACAAACTGTCATCCTTCTCTTACGGTCTCAAAGCCTCCTCCAGCAGGCCCGAGAGCAAAGGCTGTCCTCTGTGTACGAGATCACACTGCTGCTCTGGAGTCCCCAGCGTGGGGACCTCAGGCCTGTTGGCCAGGAGGCTGTCCGATGACCCTGAAGCTGCCTGCAGAGGCAAGTTCAGTTTCAGGTCCAGGGTCTCAAAAGCAAGGGCTTCTGGGATCCTGTATCTGAATGACACTTGGAATCGGGCCCAGTCTGGACATTTGCATTTTGGCTATTGCGAACTCTCCCTAGCAAAGTGCGGAGTTTTCTGGAAACACAGTTCTTTATGACTGCCTTTGTTGTTGTTGGTGGTGGGACACATGCCTTAAAATGCAACCTGAGCTGTGCAGGCAGCAGCCCAGAGGGGCCACGCAGCCAGGCGCCCCTCCCACTCCAGTGTCACGCTCCTTGGCCTAACACATTCTGACAACTCCCTCCCTCCTGCAGAATCCTGGGCGCTTAGATTCACTAGGTAATCAGCAGGTGGGCTCTGCTTCTTACTCTCTTCCAGAAGCTAGTTGTAAATCCCTACTGAGCTCTGTGATCTCTGGGCTAAACAACCCCAGATGTTGAACTCTGCTGGGCTTCTATTCCCGCCCCCCATCCTCCCCTTCTGTCTGACCACTAGAAGGCTCCACCTTGTCCTTGGCCTCCCCTCCTTTGCCTGTTGTTTGACCAAATACATCTGAAGACCTGCCTTTTCTTTTACACCCCAGGTCCATGTGCCCACATACCTTAATGTAACTGTTGCCCAACTTAAGTAGGGGCAAGAGATAGAACCAAGCCTCCCATCCCAGCAGGAATAGCTCCACCTTGGTGCCCAAAGGTGGTGATAGCCTCTCCCTTTTTCTGCCCCCAAATCCAAACCTAACCCACTGCCATGGATTGCAAGTCACCGCAACCCTATAGGACAGGGATGCCCACCCCCCCATGGTTTCCAAGGCTGTCATCTTCATGGGAGCTAATGGTTTCATCTTTCTCCCACGAGTTGCTGGTGAGCTCAATCCACCGTGCTTTAGCTAGCAGCTGGGTGCTTTAGCCACTGAGCCATTGGGTGGAGATGGACTTAAAAGATGGTGATGAGAAGGAGGAGGAGGAGGAGGAAGAGAGAAAAGGAAGTTGCCCTCCTTGGACACCTACCTGTGCTTGGGGCAAGGGACTCATGCCCAGAGGGGGCGTTACTGCTGCTGGTGGGTGCTGTGAGGTCACTGAATCTGCTTCCTGCCTGCTCCAGTCCTGTAGTTGTGCCTCGCGGACCCCACCCCCCCACCCCTGTTTGTCCACTCGCCTTGGCCCCTGGTACTTCCTCTCCAGCCCTTACACTTGGGAAGGAGCAACAGAACCATGGGGGTGGGGGGTGCACCACTCCCCAGCTCAGGGGTCAGAATGGTAGCCTTGGGTTTTCAAGCCCCCCCTCCTGCCCCCCGTTGGTCTAGGAAGCCTGTGCCCTTTCCACACCATTAACCCTTCACAGTGGGCATCCAGCTCACCCTCAGGCAGCTTCTGGGCATCCTTCTCGCTGGCAAATAAGACGAGTAAGGCTTGATCTGGGGGCCAAGGAGCAAGGGGAATGTTCCCAGGAGGTGAGCCCTCTACCCCCACCCGCCAGCCCCACCCCTTGCACTCAGTGTTGAACTAGCTGAGTGGGGTGTGTGCACAGGGTGGGAAGAATGTGTGCTCAGATAGGACAGGTTGCCCTCTCTGTGGATGCTGACAGGTGATTCTACTTTCAGCCAGCCCAGGCTCAGGTCTGGAGTCCAGGCTCCCTGTGTGGGTGGTGCTTCCCCCGCCACAGGGGCTCCAGCTTCAGGCTGGGTGTGCTCACCCGGGAATTGGGGAGGGGGCAGGAGGCCTCTTGCTGAGGACTGGGAGAAATTCCAGAGGCATTTCTAAAGGCCTGGGGCTGGCCATGGGGTGGCTGGAAATGGTCTGGAGTCCACTGGTCTGTGTGCTGGGTGGGGTGGCCTTCTGTCTCCACTTTGGTCCACCCAATGCCAAGGCCTCCAGTGTCTGGAGGCCTCTTACCTCCAAAATTTGGTCTCAGACGGACGTCATACCCCGTCAACACTCTCTCCAAAACCGTGTGAACCACGGCTTCACTGGCGCAGTTTTTGCTGAAACAGAGAAGTGACCTGTCATCAATAAATGTCACGTTGCTCCTCATAGAACAGATAGCAAAGAGCACCCCGGCCACTGTCGTGTTGGAGCCTTGCTTCCCCCTGCAGACGTGTACTGTCCTGTGCTGTCGCAAGTGTCCATGCTCCCCTTCCCTCCCTCCCCCTCCACTGTGAGTCAGCCAGAACCTCTGTGTGACGCAGACTCCCCCTCCCTTCCCTCTCTTCCCCCAGCTCCCCCTCCTCAGCTTACGTCCAGAGGGTGGGGCACAGAGGCTGGAGCTTGTTGCCAGGCAGGCTGAAGGGACTTGGGGGTGGGGGTGGGGGAGAGCAGCTAGGGGAAGTGGGGAGGGGAGGGAGCGAGCAGAGGGAGCCTTGGGGAAAATGCCTGACTTCAACCCCTGAGGCAATCAACAGGAACACAGCTTCCCAGGTTGGGGGTGGGGGCTTCTCTCAGGATCACCAAATTACCCAGGGAAGAGGAATCTGCCACCCTAAGTGCCTTGCATTGTCAGTCCAGTTACCTGGGCTGGGCAGTTTGTTGTCCCCTCATTAGCAACCTTGCTTTTGTATGCCTCTTCAAGATTGGGCAGTTGGCACAAGATGCTGGGGAGGGAGGGTGCTTGCTCATGTGGCAGAAATTTATACTCCTTATCTAACCATGCCAATTCTAATTTATGGGGCTTAGGGCTGTCCTTGAAAAGACACCAGTTCTGGGGAAGAGGGCTCTCTCTTGCTAAGCATGGGAGTCCAGCTGGAGGCGTCTGGATCTGGCAGAAAAAAGGCAGGCTCCACTCAGCGCAGCAGCCTTGCCAGAAGTCTCTGCTAGACTCACCCCAGACACTGAGCCTCTCAATAGGGCTCCCCCCCCAAAGGGGACTGTGAAAGAGCGCAAGCTCAGGGCATCACTGTGACGCCCCCACCCCAGATCTTTCATTTCATGCCCAGGAAATGCCAGTTCCACGGAATCTCAGTGTGTGCGTGTGCATGTGTGTGTGTGTGTTCATGTTCCTTAGCACAGTCTGGTGTAACAGGTTGAGGTCCCTGCAGGGCTGTCTGCTAGGACACCACCCCAGTACCTTCACCCCCTCCCTAAATTCCTCTTCATTTCTGGTTTGTCACTTAAAAATTAAGCCCCCAAATATCAAAGCATCAATTTTCACGTTGCTACATTCCACAGTGTGCGCTTGAATTATTCCCGATTTAAAGGGATGCGTTCCCGCCCGTTTCTCCACCTCACACGAGCCATGTGCCCGTGCTCAGGATCCGTAGCCACCACACCAGACCCGTGTGTGTGTGTGTGTGTGTGTGTGTGTGTGATGTACATGTCAATAGCAGACTGTTGAACAGTGCTTCTGATCTTCGATCTTCGCGGACCCACATAAACTTGGAATAAAAAACAAAACAAAACAAAACCAAAAAACACCTCTGATCTTCGCATGTTTTCTCACGAGTAAGTACGAAGACGCTCCCAGGTCCGGTCCCATGATCGAGGTCTGCATCAGGAAGGGTCCCCCAACCCCCCCTATCACGCGCGCGCGCGCGCGCGCGCGCTCCCGAGCGCCCCTGGGAATTGAGCAGAAATCCGCACTCCAACAGGTGTCTCTGGCGTCTGTTTTGTGTCTGCCTATTCTCCCATGCACCCCCTCCCAAGCCCCCCTCACGTACAGGGTCCCAGGGACTTGGCTGGGGAGACCTGTTAGGATCTTAGTCCCTGGGGAGAGGTGGCAGCCCGAGTGGGGCCGCTCCACCCCCCCACACTGCAGTCTGGGCACAAGGGTGCTGGATGGCGCCCACAGGGGCCGGTGGTGGAGCCCAGGGTCTTCCGTATTGTCCCCTCCCTCTCTCAGGCTAGCGGGTGCGCCACTCACCACTGGAAGAGGTCCTGGCTGACGTCGGGAACAGGCGTGTGGTGGAATTCGAACCTGGCGGTGGGGTTGGGGGCGCTGCCCTCCGCTAGCCAGGTCCGGATGAGCAGCAGCAGCACGGCGGCCCGCAGCATGCCTCGGATGCTCATGGCTGCGCTCGGGGGCACGGCCAGAGGGACTGGACGAGCTGGCCAGGCGAGGCGACCGAGCGAGGCAGAGCACCAGCCGCAGCACGCGGAGGCGGTGGCTGCAGGCGAAGTGCGCTCCGTCTGAGGCTGAGCAGGGCTGCGACTGGGCGCCAGAGGGTGCGTGGAGGCTCCGCCCACTTTGGTTACCCTGCCCTCCCAATGGCCCCGCCCACCCCGACGGTAGCGCCAATCGCAGGCAGAGAGCACTTCCTCCTGCGCGCTGGGCGGCCTTAGAGCCCAACTGTTGCTGCCCGCCCCGCCCCCTCCAATCCTGGCCGAATTGGCTTGACTCTTGGTCCAATGAGCGCTCCGAGTTCCTTTGCTTTATGTAAAAAAGGGAGTGCGGCAGTTGAACCACCATGGAGGACTCTGCTTTCTGAAGACCCAGACGTTTGGGGGGGGATCTGGAGGCACGCTCTAGTTTCCTGTAAGTACCTCGCCACGGAGTGGCGTGATCGGGGAGCCCCAATGGGCTTTAGGATCAGATCAGGCCACGGCAAGTGCCCCCCTCCCTCATGACTAGAGCCCAAGGGTCTTGCTGCAAGACTCACAGCATCCTTTATGCTTAGTTTGTGTCACAGAAGTGGGGTACCCTGAGATGGGAGCGTGTTCCTAGCCAGGGGAGGCACTTGTGTGGGCTTTGGGTCCAAGGCCGACCTGTTGACCAAGAAAGGAAGGCAGAGAGCAGTGTCTGGGAGCATGGAGGGCTTTGGATCTGGGGCACCAGACCACTTCTCTTAGACCTTGATGAGGAGGCAGAATCCACCAGGCAGATGGACAGTCAGTCAACACATAGCGCTCCATCCTGTTCCCCAGAGCTGGACTTCCTAAGGCGTGCCACTTTGAAACCCCCAGTAAAACTCACTGCCATTGAGTTGATGCCGACTCATCGTGACCCTTTAAGACGAAGTCCAACTGCTCTCGTGGGTGAGTCAGTCAGGTCGGACATCCTTACTGGAGCACCTGATGAGTGTCAACTGCTGACTTTGTGGTTAGCAACCCAATGCACAGCCCATTATTCCACTAGGGCCCTCTGATAGGGGAGTTCTGGTTTCCTGTTGGCTAACCAGAACATTCTAGCAAAAACATATCCCCTTCCTTTGTCCCTCAGTAGTTGATGACATGGAGTTAGGGTGGCTTATACCCAGCTTATGGCAAAATCCTCTTGGTCCGGGACTCCTGGGGTTTAGTTGAGTGCTTTGTACAGTCATAAAGGTTTACTTTTTTATCTGCTCCTTTACATTGTTTAAGAATCAAACTTCAAAAAAAGTGTCTCATGGTTCTCTGTCTTCTTTCAACAAGCAGAGCACCATTCCTCACCCTTTCCCTTCCCCTTTCCCCCTTTCCCCCCTTCCCCTCCATTACAGAGCATCCTCTCCAGGGTTGAACCAGGTAAGCTCACCCCCACTGCTAGTAGTGCTGACCCATTAGCTCTGTACACCCAGGTATTCCTGTGGAGACAACGCTTGCTTATCAGAGAAGGAAAGGTCAAATGGCAGCAGAGGCCAAGTGTAGAAATAATCCTACTGCCAGCTTCCAGTTTCTAGAACCTCGTGTTTTTCCAGTGAGCATTGGCTGACTGGAATTTCAGGAAACTACCAGCAGGTGGCAGTAGACTTGTTTGGATGTAGGTTGGTTCCAGCACCCTGGAATCCGATCCTTGTTTATCAAGGAGAGCAAGCCTGAAGCCCGCAGTTTTCTTCCTAGGTGCCCTTGTAACAGTCAGAGCTATGACCTAGAGGGTCCGCCCCAACTTCTGTTCTCCTCAGAGGTAATACTTAGTTGAAATTGCTGACGCACTTGAAAAATACCCACCCCCAACAAAAAACCAAGAAGACATATGAAAATGCCACTATCACGTGTACTTGTTGAGCTTGCCCCTAGTTAATTCATTAGACAGATTGCATGGACTTGAACTCAGCTATGGGAAAGAGCATTAACTTGGCAGTTAGCACACCGATCTGTGCCACACACGTAACAGCGAGTGTCCTGGTTTGGTTGAGCGGTAACAGAGAGGTAGGAAATAAAGATTAGGCAGCACCTGGCTTATTGAACACCACATACTCGGTTCACAAGAAATACTTTTTGGGTGTCTCTATGGTGGCAGAAAGAATTTTGAGTCTAATTTTCTAAACTAAGGACTTGATTCTTATTTGGGAATTCTCGTTAAAGGCTTTGAAGGGCTTGAGCAAAGATTTGATGCAATCCTGGTGGTGCGTCTGGAAGAAGCATCTTTTGGTTACTTTGTGAAAGAGAACTTGAAGGAAGAGAAACTGGGATCAGGGGAACAGTTAGGAGGGGTTTGTATGCTTCTGCGTCTGGTCTGGTGGTGGCATGATGCATGCTGGGTAATTTAGACTATCCCAATCAGCCAACGAAATCAACGGGCTGAAATATAAAAGAGAAATAATCTTTACATAGAGCTAAGAAAAATGAGGCAGCTTCAAAAAGTTCATGTAAAAAATTTAATTAATTAAAAAATTGAATTAAAACATAATGGGGTTTTCCCATGCACTTTGTTAGTCCTCTTGTAATGACACAAGAAGACAAGGAGAGAGAGAGAGAGAGAGAGAGAGAGAGAGAGAGAGAGAGAGAACACATGCCCCCCCCCACGCCCACCAAAGCATTTGCTGAATTTGGAAGAGTGAGTTTTGAAACTGAACTGTGGTTTTACTGGCGCTAGGGACCAGGAAGACAAGAGTGAAGCTCAAGGCCCAAGTGAGTCACGGATTCAGTAAGCCCCCCATCACTTTAACGTGACACTCTGAGCAGCTATTCCTTCAGGATGATGGTTATCCAGAACTATCCTCTAGGCTAGATATCTGTCACCTGGATAGTCCAAGGACCTAATCCCCTGAACTGGAATTAGAGCACCCCCTCCCCCAGGCATTTAACAGAAGCAAAAGAGATTGAGACAATGGATGGGAGTGGCATTCTGGCCTTTAGAATGCCTTTTCCTCAAACTGTTCATGAAAAGCTATTTTATAAAGGTGTTCTTAATTTTATTTC